TTTGGTCTAAAGAATGCCCCGCAGATTTATCAACGCCTCGTAGACAACTCGCTGTATGGATTTTTGAAAATCTCGCGATCCGGCGACGCTGGGGCTACAACGGACGTGTTCCAGACAGGGATCGCGGACGATCCTGATCGCGAGTCAGTGTTGGGACGGAGATCATATATTGGCGACATCATGATCGGAGCAGAATCGTGGGATCATATGGCGAAGGGTGGAAGATCTGTTGGAGGCTTGCGATAAGTGGAGTTTGTCGATCAGTGTAGCCAAGAGCTTTTGGGGCATGGATAAAGTGAGATATCTGATACACCGAGTGTCGATCGGAGGTCTGGAAGCGAACCCGAAAGATCTGAAATCTCTGACAGATCTGCCATTCCCCGGATCACTTTGATCTATGCAGTCGTTCCTGGGCAGTTTGAATTACTACAGCCGATTAATCGAAGACTATGCGATCTATGCCTCGGTACTCTACGAACTACGTGAAGTAGAGAAACGATCGGATCTGAGGGAGATCATGGACTGGAACGACCCGATTCCTCGGGATCTCGGCCCACCGGAACTGAAGTTGACGGGACCAGTGGACGAGAGGTGGATCAGGGCACATAGGGCCTTCATCGCCTTCAAAACCAAGATCGCGACTACCCCAATCCTCCGCCATTTCGACGAGACGAGAACGCTGGTAGTTATCGTGTATGCCATCGATTGGGCGATATCCGCCTCGTTGACGCAAGAACACGACGGGATCTATCATCCGGTGGCGTTTGCCAGTCGCACCTTGAAGACGAACGAGTTGAATTACAATGTGACTGAGAAGGAGGTGTTGGCTGTTGGCATTGCTGCGGATCTTGGATCTTTATTACGATTTGCTAGTAGGACGCGAGATAACGAGGCATTCCACTTGGCCTGGCTGTTCAAGTCGACGGGATTGCAGGGTCGCCTAGGACGATGGTCCGCCCTCCTGGCCCCGTGGACGCTCGAGATCACGAAATGCATGAAGGGTGAGGACGAAATACTGGGGGCGATCGCTGCAGCATCACACCGAGGGCGAAGATGGACGACGCTCTGACCGAAATCGCTCCCCGGAAAGAACCTAAACGCCGGATCCAAGCACCGATACCCACCGTGGATCGAGAAGAGAAATTATGGGTGGTCAGTTTTGGCGGATCCGCTCGAGTTAAGCGTGGCGGAGGCGCGTTCAGTGCGATCGTGTGGAGTTTGCCCGGATGGGAGGTGGTCAAAGCCAGATCGGGCTATCTCGAGAGCCTCACCGTGAACGAAGCAGAATAAACGGCCTGATCCTAGCGGTTAGCATTTCATGTAACCCCGTTACATCTGGTGGTTTGCGGTGATTCCAACCTAGTGATCCTTCAAGTACGGGGTGAGATCGATTGCAAAGCACCCGGACTGACGCTATTGAAGCGGAAGGCCCTCATCACCTGAGGAAATGGAGAGATCATGAGCTAGTGCATGTCAAGAGAGACTGGAACGGAGGTGCCGACAGTCTAGCGAGTGTCGCTTTGCAACGACAAGGCGGGATCGAGGTCCATAAGATGCCGGGGCACCAGGATCTGGTTACTCTGAACCGGTTAGACGAAATCTTGATTCCCAGGACCGAGAACCCAGTGGTGCGAGGACCACCCGAGCTGGTCGAGCAAGATCGCCGGCGGGTGTCATGCAAGAGGATCTGATCCGGGAGATCCGGGTCGATTGGATTAAGCAGGCCCAGGAGGTTGAAGTCTGGATCGCCGGTATGAAGAAGTATCTGAGTGGCTCGATCGCAGATCTCACACAAGCGGAAGCAAGGTCGTATGGCAAGATCGCGGCCGACTACGAGGTAAACGAGCAGGATCTACTCTTTTACTGCACCCCCCCCCCCACGCCGAGAGGGATGATCGTGACCAATTGCTGAGATTGGTTGTCCCCGAAACGCTGCAATCGGACGTCTTACACCACTATCACACTATGTTGGAAGGAGGACATCAGGGAGTGGGACGTACCTACCAGCGGATCAGGAGATCACTTCCACTGGAGTGGATTATACCGGAGTGTCCAGAGGTATGTGGTGGACTGTGAAACAGGAAAAGGAAAACCGGTGATCCGGGGTGGATCACCGGGGAACTTACAGGCGACGTACCCGTTCCAGATTATTGCGATGGATCACATATCGTACCCGTTCCAGATCATTGCGATGGATCACATACCGTCGCAACCCAGATCACACAAGGGAAACACTGAGTTATTGATCTGGGTCGGTCTGTTCACAGGATATGTGATCGCGAAAGCCAGCTCGTCCCGATCGGCCCAGACGGTTGCGGAATCGTACGAAGAGTGTGTATTTCGGCGATTTGGTGCCAGCGAGATGATCCGACATGATCGAGAACTCTTCCGGTCGTTTAAAAAGATCCTGGGACAACGGCAGCGGGCGACGATGGCTTATCGGCCACAGGCCAACGGGACCGCAGAAAGAATGGTACAAACGGCGACCAGGGTGCTCAAGATGTATGTTCGCGATCTGGATCAGAAAGATTGGGACGAGTATGCTGAGCGACTATCCTTCGCGATCAACACGGCTCATGATGGGATCCGTGGAGATACCCCTCACTATTTGGTGCATGGGTGGGATCCGAGAACGACATTGGAGGCTACATTGCCGGTCGGATGCACTTGACGGCGCGATCGAGACGCTCGGCGGTGGCGTTATCGGGTCCAGCGATATTATCAGCAGTCCCGAGATCAAGTCAACGCTAGATTGATGGAGGCCATTGCAGACCAGGCAGGCCGACACAACGAGGACGTCGGATCGCAGGACGTCGGATCACACCAGATCGAGGCCAGATCCCGCATCTGGTTATATCTAGATCGGGTGAAGGATACGCGCGGAAATTGGCTCACCTTTGGCATGGTCCGTTCCGAGTCGCCGAAAAGATCAACGAATTCAGCGTCAAGCTCGAGATCGCAAGTACCGGGTACCAGATCTTCCCAGTCGTTCACGTGTCGAAGCTGAAATTGGTCAAGGATTTTCCCGATCGGCCGCGATAGATGAGGCGGATCGGCTCGATTTCGATGAGATCCTGCTTCCGGAGGACAGTTGGGTCCCGGATCTCGGGGCCGATGAGTACGAAGTCGAGCGGATCTCTGATGTGCGGAGTGGAAAGAAGACGCGATTTGGTCGGATCTACCGAGAATTCCTGGTTCATTGGGCGGGATATGCTAAGCCAACCTGAGACGACGAAGCCGATCTCAACTGCGGGGCAATATTGAACGCCTTCCTG